ATAACACACGCCAAACACTTGTAATTCGTAGCATATCAAAAGCGAGAACCAACAAACAAGAAAATTGCCAAATCATGGTAGCATTACGATGGGGAGGAAAACAAAAAAAAAGGTCTATAAGAACAGTGCGAGAGAGAGAGAGAGAAAGAGGTGATAGAGGGGAATAACATACTGAAGTGCAGTCGCTGGTCTAATGTAGATATATCTCGTTATTTGACAAGCTGACGCTTGTTGGTTTTCATGTTGCTTTGATAAATTGAATAAACATTTTTATGGTATAATTAACTCATGTTCATGGCTAATGCGAATGCCACACCCACAAAAAGAGACAGAGATAGAGAGAGAGAGAGAGGAAGAACAAACCAAAGCTAAGCAATTAAAATGTTCACATTTCGAATGAGCTTTGTTGGCGTTGTTTATACTAGAATTTGATGACAGCATTTCTCTGGCTCTTTGATAGTATTTCCGTTTAATATTAAAGCATATGTTTATATGTTTATGTATGTATTTATATTTAATTTTAGAAATTTATAAATTTAAAAGTCCAGATTTTTGTAGAGCTTTTTGTGGTTGCATTTTTTTTTTTTTTTTTTAATAATATTTTCTCTATATTTCAAGTCTGTTTACTATACAATTGATGTATATTATATTAAGTATATTACATATTAAAAGCCTGTTGATATGATTGTCTTTCTTAAGTTTCCTCCAAGTACTTTAAATTAGAATACAATTCATATTTTCTTTACTGACTTCCTGCTTACCTGATAAAAAAATACTTGCGATTATTATTTCTTAGCCAAAATTCATTATTTGCGCGCACTTCCCAAAAAAATTAAATATAAATAATATCGTGAAATCCCTGTCACACCATACAATTTATAAGGGATCCACCCTCTGCTACACCTACACACACACACACAAACATACAGACACAGCGATATTCAAAATAATAATTTAGATAAAAGTGTGCATAATTTTGATAAGGATATTTGTCTGACCAGGCGAGCGAGCCAGAGAAAATTTATATGCTCGCACCTAACTGCAAATTGTGTGTAATGAGCTGAGCGGCGTTTACCTTTGCCTTCACCTTTGCCTTTACCTCTGCCTTTACCTTGTCCGTTGCCTTTGCCTTTGCCTCTATCATGTTTATATAATTTTTTTCTTGCCACTCGACTAATTTAGTGGCACCTTTTGCGTTGTCTAAGCCTGAAGAAGACATAAATTTGTTAGCGCCTGGCCTGGGTTTAGCTACCAATTTCCATGTTTCTTTTTTTTTTTTTTTGAGGGTGTTTTGTTTTTTTTTGTTTTTTTTTACTTCCTACTGTCTACCGGCCCCGTGTCCAGGCTTAGGCTTAAGGCATACAGCACAAAAATTAGTCAACAACAACAACAACAACAACAACAAGAACACGAGAAAAGGTTGCCGACGGCTGAGAGATACGCCGGGCCAGAACATAGATCGGTCGCTTCAGATAAGTTCTATTTCATATTTATGTTGGAAATTAGGCAAATTTTTAGTGGCGAGATAATTTGTGTACGACTTTGTCGCAGTGAGTGAGAAAATTGCATCTAATCTACATTTATCTCAAATTGTGTGTGTGTGGGTGTGGCCATAGGGGAGGCAGGTATATTACGTGAATTCCATCAGATTTGCTGAGTATACAATGAATATTATTATTTTTTCATTTCAAATATGTTTGAATCAACTTTTTATTGGGTTTCTATATTATATATCAAGTAGCTTTTACATAAAAGAATTGTAGCCTAGAAATGATTAGCGAAAAATCTATAGATAAATTCAGTTCAAATTATTTAACTAAATTTCATCCAATAATAAATCTATCAATATAATGTATCAAAGAAGTGCATAAATTGCTCTTCGCTGAACTAAGCCATGCCTATTTTCTCATATCGTTTCCCATTCTGAGCAACTCTAATAGCATAATAATTAGCTTTAACTAACATTTCAATAAATAGCGATTGATTGGTTTAACAAGCGCCGCAATTAAAATGTCTCAAACTAATAATTAACGAAATGCTAAGAATCCAATTAACACACTATCCATAAATACTTGATGAAAATGTGACACTTTCTCACAGTTTTCCAGCAATCGAGTTGATATTGTGTTTTTCATTCTGCGAGGGCTAATTAAGATATTTGGAAAGTCAAGTCATGGCTTGGTTTATGCTTTTGCTGTTGCTTTTGCTTTAGCTTGTTTGTTGGTTAAAAAATGATTTTATAATTGCGCGTTTCGAGTGTGTAATTATTAGTTAGTTATCGGTTAGGTCAGCTCAAACCGAGGGCTAACTAAACACTCGCTATTATATAAGCCATATTTAAGTGTTGCCGCAGTTACTCCGCTTTTGTTTCAGTTTCTGTTTGCCTGCTTCGTGGCCTATGGGCATAAAAATGAAGTTATTAAAATTCATATGCCATATGCCATATGCTGTATGCCTTATGCCAAAGGGCCGTCTACGAGCGTTTATGCTTCTCTTGTAATTATAAATGATTGACAGCACGCGTTTTAAAAATATATGTATGTAGCCAGAAATGTTGGCCCAGCCACAGCCTGGTGTAATTGTTTAATTGCTTAACAAATTGAAACAATTGCAATACATAAATTACAAGTGGCAACAACAGAAATTATGCAATTTGAGCAATGTTTGCAAAATTTGATTTTTATCGATTTTTAGCTGTAGTTAATAATAATCACAAAATACATAATGAAAATGGTTACATAGTAGAGATGCATAAGCTCTCATATAATTTTTAAAAATTTTTTCTTGTTATATCTATATTTTTATTTTATTTGATATATTACTGTTTGTAATTCTTTGTTTTTTTTTTTTTTTTTTTCAATTTGTTTGTTACTTTAATTTTTTTAAAATTTCGTTTAATTAAATTTTTTAACTTTTATGTTTATTTATATTTATATTTATATTTCTCTTTTATAATATATATTATAATTTGATACTTTTTTATTGCATATGTTATTTGTTATTATTTAATTTCTTTTAAATAATTATTATTTTTAAATTTTTTAACCGTAAGCTTTATATTTTCAAATATTTTATATTTCATTAGGCATTTAATTTTTAATTTTTCAAACAAACATTCTCAAACCACTTTTGGGTTTTTTGCATTTCGCTGGCTTTATTCGGATCGCTTTATCTGTCTTAGCAACTAATTAAAAAGTGCATTAAAACATATTAATAACTAATGTCCGCACACCAGCAACAGTACAACAACAATTAACAATTAATAACAAATGTCCGTGTTGAAGACAGACATCATTAGAAATTGATGACGCATGTCGCGTGCAACTGCAACTGCAGCATGTACTAGCCCGCTCTCTCTCTCATTCACTCTCTCTCTCACGCTTTGTCTATCTCTGCATGCAATGTTTAGCTGCTGGCAACCCTTTAACGATATATATATATATTGACTGCCCTCCCTTCCCCATCCCGCCGCCCAACGCTTCACAAACGACTCGAAAAGTGGAAATGATATGATAGGAGTCTAAAACACGGACTTGTAATTAATTAGACTTTCATAAAGAGCACAAAATTCTATAAATTATATTCCATTTGGCGCGGCATAAATGTCAGAGGCAAAAACCTGAGCTCCCTCTGCTGCTGCTGCTGCTGCTCCGAGTTGCCTCTGTTGCCACGCGCGACTGCGCATCACGTGCGGCTGCATTTTGTTGTCGACTTCACATCATCATCATCGTCATCTTCATCATCATGAACAACATCATGAGCTCATCATCGCGATCATTTATTAATTGCTTAGTGGAACTCGCAAACGAAAAACATTTTTTTTTTTTTTTTCTTTTTTTTTATTTTGTTACTCTTTTGTGTTATAAATTGTTTATTATTATTTTTGCACATAATTTAAATAGTTTGTTTTTTCTTTTCGCTTTTTGATTTTCAGCTTTTAAAAGAGTGGGGAGGGGGGGGAAGGAAGGGGCTAGGGGTTGCATTGAATGTGTACATAAGCATTGGAGTTTGTTTTGTATTTTTTTTTTTTACAATAATTTGTTAGTTAGGAACAATTAGACACAACAACAAAATTATATATAATTTAAATAAAACAAGCGAAACTCTCCTTTGCACTAGTTCTAAGCCTAATTAAATTAACTAATACTGTTACACGGCTAAAACTAAGAACTACACTAAATACATTTATATATATTTATATAAATACTATATATATGTATGTATATGTATTTATATATTTATTTATCAAACAAGTTTATGCGCAGCAACTGTGAAGTGTTTTGAAATTTAAGGAAATTTCTTAAGAACAAAATTTTGTTGTTTCAATATTTACATTTAGATTTACGTTCATTGCTCTTGAAATTAAAATTGTAGATTTTTTTAATCTCAAAATATTTAGCAGTTCAAGTACGTATTAAAAATTGATATTAAAATTTTTGAAATAGCAATTAAATTTAAAATAAACTTGTTTTTTTATTTTTTATTCTACATATTTATCGTTTTTATAAAGATTCAATTTTTTCGTATTGACTACAATTTTTTAGTAAAATTCTGATTTTATTGTTGATTTATATATATATTTTTCTTGGAAAAGCTTAAAAAACTGAAACTGTTTATTTTTTAATAAATGAAAATTAGTTTTAAAATACTCCAAATTGTTTTAAATAATAGTATTATTAATTTTATTATTATTATTATTTTTTTTTTTTTTGTAAAGCCTGATTATTTTTGTTGTGAGAGCAACTTGAATATTATATACCGAACTTGCTTTTATTTTATTTTATTTTTAAAATATGAAACTAGCTTGAAAATCTTGAAAGTCATAAAAACATACAAATGATAACTTATTCAATCATATTTTTACAATAAATGTTTTTTTGTATAAAAAATTAATTTATATTCAATGTTTGCTGGCTCGACATTTATCTAAACTATGTGTTTAACTTTTTGTTTTTATTTCCTAAAAATATTTCCTTTTTTATTATTATTATTAGTTTTGTCATATATTTTGGTCATAAATCAAGCTTTTTTATTCAAGTTTCAGCATAATTTTCTATGAATGTTTCGAATTGTCAATAGTGGAATGACTCAAAATACAAATTGTTTCGTGTTAAATACTTTGGCTCTTACTGCATTTCAAGTAAGTTTTTATTATTATTTTTGATTTATATTAGAATATTATTAGAGTTTCTTTTATATATTATAAGCCATACAAATTTTTTGCAAAAATCATATCTAAGATAATTTCTCAAATCATTTAAGGAAATTTCCATAAATCTCGAAACACGTCTCAGTTGCATGGCATAAACGAGCTGCTAAATTTGAGTGTTTGCCACATGTTGCTGCAACATGCTTAGCGCTGCACAGCTTTGAGTGATTACAGTATTTTGTTTTCTTTTTTTCTTGTTTTGTTTTTGGGTTATTTACAAACATGTTCGATCATTGCACATACATTTCGCATATTGGTTTTCATTGTTTCTAGGGGCTCTCGGCGCGCAGCGAGGGCGAGGGGGAGCTGCCCGGCTGGCCGTGCTGCGGCACCTGATACGGACTGAAGCGTTGGGGATAGTGGCCCAGCTGCGTCTTGATGCGCAAATCCGGCGATGCTGAGCCGCAAGATGATGTGGGCGTGGCGGGCGCTGGCGGTGCATTGGCAGTCGCTGCCGGCGGCGGCGGTGGGGGCGTACGGCTGGCGTTAGCCGCTGCCGCCGCTGCAGCGGCGAAGGCCGCTTGCTGATTGGCGCTGGCCAGAAAGCCGGCCGTTAGCTGCGGCCACTGCTGCTGCCACATGCCCAGCTGAAAGGCGCCCAGCGAGGCGCTCGGATGGGGCGGCGGCGGTGCTGGCGGTGCGGCGCGCTGATACAAATGCGGCAGCAACATTTCCGTATACGGCGAACGGCCGAACATTTGCAAATGCTGGCGCGCCTTCTCCAGCAGCGCCAGCGATGCGGCATCCGCCTCTTGGGGCGTCAGTTGGGCCATCAGCGGATCCGGAAAGAAGCGCAGCGGTGCGGCGCGCATGTGCTGATCGAAAAAGAACGAATCCATGGGATCTCTGCAAAGAACAAAGCCAACAGAATACACATGAATAAGACAGAGAGAGAGAGAAAAAGAAAGAGAGAGAGAGAGAGGAGAGAGAGAGTGAGAGAGGGAGAGTAGGGGCTAAGCTAAACTTGTTGCAACACGGAGGCAAAAGCCAAGGCAGCAATAACATAATTACGTTGAAAGTAACTGCCAATTGCCGACACTAAACAACGTCAGCAACAACAACAACAACAACAACAACAGCAACAACCACATTCACTCATTATTTTCGTGTTTTCATTTCATGTACGAATCGGCTTCAAAGTTAAATGCGCCGATCTGTAATTTACGCCACTTAAGACGCCGCCGAGCCGGCTAAAAACATTGAATGTTGTTGTTGTTGCTGTTGTTGTTGTTGTTGTTGCTGCTGACGTTGTCCATGCTGCTGACTGCCTGCGTTTGCTGTCTTAATAGTACACGTAGCCGCCGCCTTGCAACACTTTTGCAGTTGCTGTCCAAAAAGAATGGGAAACAAAACAAAAAATACTTCCTAAAAGACAGCTACCCTTTCCCCTGCTCAGGGCAGCGAATGCTGTTTGATTGTCCTGTGCAACCTGTGCGCAACATGCAACATGCAACATGTTGCAAGAGTTGCAACTGGGGAAGCCGAGTTTGAGCTCTGTTAATTAGCTGAAGTATATGAATTGAAATATGCATAAAAGAGCAATCGAATTGAACTGCAAAATCGAGAGTTTGGAGTGAAAAATGTTTGAGTGATTCAGGAGTTAGTGAAAGACGCTAAAGTAACTGGATTTAATCGATTAACCTTGCGTTTAGTGAAAGTAGCTAGACTAGTATACTTTGTATATAGTCAATGCAGATCTTGAATAGAATACTCTAGCTAAAAACTGACTTAGGATCAATTTGGCTGAGTCGAAAGTCTTAAGTCTAAGCTTTAATATTAAAAAAATGCTGTGACAGAAGATTGATTATATACTTATATATGTATATATATCTATATCAATCAATATCGCAACAATCAATATTGCAACATATCTATGTACTACATTCCTATCTCTCTCAACTGTCGGCAGATCTTCTAAAGAACTCCCCGTTGCTCCAGTTTAAACAGTTACTAATTGAAAAAGATTTTCTTTGCTTAAGTTCTACGAGTGTTTCTTCGATTTGCCACTGGCTTTCACACATATTCGCTAATCAGCGTCTTAGACTTGAGCTACTGTGCGCGGGCTCAGTGAAAACCCTCGCCAAGGCGCATCAGCGCATCAGCAGAGGTTCATCGTAAATGAGGTCGTAAATCAGCAAACAAGCCGCCATAAAAGTGCTTGGGGTCAACTATTGAACTATTTCAAGACTCACTACAGAGACGCCCCCGCTGCCTGTAGTTCTACTTATTAATAAAAAAAAAAGAAGAGAAGAAGAAGATGATGATGAAAACAACTCACCTATCAAAATCAGTCAGACGCGACGAATCGCGAAATCCTTTTGCGAACGGATTCGAGTCGATTTTCAATTTTGTAATCAATTGATTCTGATAGGCCGTCACGGCCGTGAATACCGTCTCCGGGAACACGAAGGTTTTATGATCCATATCCTGCAGCTCCTTGGGATTGCCGGGTATGCTCTGGCCATGGCTCAGCCGCACCAAGTGAATCCGTGGCTGATATCGATGCATTGAATTCAGCACGACCTGCAAGCAAGCGAATAACAAAAGCAGAAATTTTTTTAGAGTTCTTTTTTCTATATCTATCTCTCTCTCTCTCTCTCTCCCTCTCTCTCTTGTTGGCCTTATAAAAAATTTACAACAATAAAAAAGTAGTCGGCGTTTGTTTTGACGCTTTTCCGGGGCAGCATCCTTTATGGCGGCGATAAAAACGGTGGCTGGCTCGTAAACAGAGCGTCCACACTTTCCATGTTATATGGCCGGGCATGATATAGGGCCAGAGAGTGCTGCTATATACACACACACACACACACACACATGTGTATAAATGTATATGTGTGCATATAGGAGCCATGCATGCAGGGGAAGTTAGTTGGCTTTTGCATTTGCCACCAAATTGCCAACAATTTTCATTCATTTTTTGGAATTTACATATGCCAGCAGTAAAACAGGCTATACACCCTCTATCTGTCTCGCTCTCTCTCTTTTTAGTGCAGCTCTCACAATGGCAGACCAGTCGCTGCGGCGTTTTATATCCTTTTGTCTTCTAGCTAAATTATTCATAAATGTTTTGCGCCAGGATGCTTAAGGAAGTGCTGCTTGATAATATCTTGTGAATCTCGCGTGAATTTTCGCAGCTTTGCCTTTGCCTTGCACACGCTGAATATACTATTAGTGCTCACTGTAGTCTGTCGTTTAAACAAAAGAAGTAACATTTGGCTTTGCAGATATTGGTTTCCTTTTTCTTTAGTTGTTTTGGATTTAAAGCGGTGTTTGATTGAGATTTGTTCAATTACTAGGGGATTTACTTAGGAAATAAATCGGAAGGTAGGCTCTAGGAGGAGTTCTTAAAGTGTTTCGCAAGGATACACTCAGATATTTCATCATTCACTGCATCAGGCAGTCCGTTAACAATATTTGTAATCATTTAAACAGTCCTACATCTTTATCTGAGATATATCTGTCTATATGCTTCACCTATTTATACTTAAGCTTAATTCTCTAAAATCTTATTTTGCAAAAAAATTTAGTAGCAGTTACTAAAGTTACTAAAAATAATATAATTTTGATTTTCGATTAAGAATCTCCTTCCTTGGTTTCTATATTCTCTCCTACCTTTCTCTCTCCTCCTCTCTCGCTCTCTCTCTCTTTCTCTCTCTCTCCTCTCTCTTTCCATCTATGTGTGATCTGTCTTTTTCGCTCTGTCTCTCTCTCACTGTCTCTCTACTTGTAAACTGTCTTTCTTTTTATCTCACTCTCTCACTCTCTATATGTAAACTGTCTTTATTTTCTCTCTCTCTCTCTCTTCCCGGATTACTATGTGTAAACTGTCTTTGTCTCTTTATCTCTCTCTTTCACTATTTCACTCTCTCTCCCTCTCTCTCTTTCACTATTTCACTCTCTCTCCCTCTCTCTCCCTCCCTCTCTCTCTCTCTCTCTCTCTCTCTCTCTCTCTCTCTCTCTCTCTTTACGCACTCTTCCTTCATCTCTTTTGTATCTCCCATTGCTAGAAGTTCACTTTCTATCCGATGCATTAAAGCTCATCGATTTTTCTTTTTTTCCGTCACTTTGCTTCGTGTCAATGTGCGCTCTTCCAGCTGTCGCCGCAGTTAACCTTTGACCCAGCACACACACACTTAAACACACCATCGCTGCTGAAACTCACCTGTCCACTTTTATCCATTTCGTTATTTGTCAGCTTCACCTTCTCGAAGGAGACGACCTGTTTGCGCAATGCCTCCGGGCTGATGGGGCTATCGGGATGGGCATAAATGCGTGCCGGCGGCGGTGGATCCGCCTTGCCGGCCACCAGCCAGGAGCTGCGATGATATGCATAGCGATAGCGTCTCGAGTCTAACGGCACAATGTCCAGCAGTACGGCATAGCGATCCGGCGGTTGGATTTGCCGTAATGGGCCCGAGAACGAGACACGCACAGTGGGGAACATGCGCCTGAAAGTAGACCAAAACAAAAAGTACCATGAGGATAATGTAGGAAATTCAATAGGCAAAAGAAAGAGAGGCCAAGATACGCCAGCAACTAGAAAATAGAGAAAACCCTTAGCTTTCTTTTATTGCCTGGCATTGTGTAGCACTAGAGCTGGGGGGTTGGATTTGTTTCTGGGGGTTGTGTGTATGTAAATAAGACGCATATTTAATTTTATGACTTTTAGCACGTTTTTGACACATTTCCGCGACGAAGCAGACCTCATCAGAGTGCCCCAACTTTCAGAGGCCAAACAAACCACAAAAAACAGAAAACAAAACTCAACTCAAGCTGCGGCCAGGCAAAGTGTAAATGACGCTAATGACCCAGCCCAGTTCTTTTGTCATTTGTCTTTCAGGTTTCTCTTTATGCGACTGTCTCCAAAGGTGTGCGACAGAGTGTGTGTGTGTAAGTGAGTGTGTTTGTGTGTGTGTGTGTGTTGAGTTGAGTTGTAAACAAATGTTGCAACATTTGTCATAATAAACCAACTAATTAACAATACAGCAAATAGAGTTTTTGATACGATATGATGATGATATGAGTTCGACATGGACAAGAAATGATAGTAGACATATATTATAGGCATTGTATGTGCAATAAATGAAGCTGAATGTTACATGAAAATGAAGCCTAGCAATAAAATTGTTTATACAAAACATTGACAAATTAATAATAAATAAAAAAACACATCAAGAACTTAAAGCAAGTTTTGTTTAGGTGTATAGTTGTAGTTTGGTTATAAGGAATAGACATATTATAGACATAAGACTGAAGTCAATTATAACTGTAATCTTTATTAGCAATTGATTTAATTTATTATAACCACACACATTTTGTTGGCACATACCGTGGCTTCGCTTCTTTTGCAACACTAATTGAGTTGACATAAAAAGTATTCGTAAATATTTCAAGACATGTAAAACTATTTTACTATGTTTGTATAGACTAATACTTGCTCTTACTTCTTTCGTATAGATCATACACCTTTCTCGTCTTTTCAATATGATACGCTTATATGTGTAAATGTCTGAACAAAAATAGTAATATAATATTTATAAAATATATATCAATCAATTCAAAAGCTGCAACTCAAATTTGTTCCAGATTGAGCATATATAGAATTTATTTATTTTTATCAATTTATATTTAAAATATTTATTATGGAATTTTTTTCATAAAGGCCATAAATATATTGTAGTAAAATTTAATAATAAAAAATATTTTTATAAAATAAAGCAAGGAAATAGAAAAATATATAATAAGTACATATAAAAATATGCCAGCTACAAGTTTATAGAAATCCAATGGAAATAAAAAACTATGCGAAATAAATTTAGAGCAATAAACAAGCTATTCGCTGCTCGTTCCTTTGTCTTTATAGTGTTTTAACATATATACCATATGTATATATATATACATACATGTACATATATGTCATACATGCATCTACACATATTTATCTATCTGTAAAGAGAATGCAATAAATCAGAGTCGAGCCCGTTCATCAGCTGTCGCATGCCAATGAAAATCGTGCCGCGGACACAGGTTTATAGTGGAATAAAAACGAGATATGTATATATATATATATATATATATATATATATGCATATATATAATTGATAATAATTTCAGTTATAATGTCAAAAACATAAATCGGAGGCGACTGCAGGCAGCGAGTGGTATGACATGTTGTATTGATAGAGAGAGGCGTGGGCGTGGCTGGTGGCGGAGGCGTATGTGTGCGTGTTAGCCGCCATGTTGCGGCAGAGTAACGTGCGTGTGTGTGCGTGTGTGTGATGGTAATAACTGTCATTGCTGCGGCAGTTGCAAGTCGACAGTCGTTAGTCGTCAGACGTCAGTCGGCATGTTGCATGCCACAATTAGCACCATTGTAGCGGATGGCTTATCGCTGCGATGCCATCAGCTGAGGCGATGCACTCGAGCCTGACGCGTTGGCAAATCTATTCAAGAAGAAGCAGAGAAATCAACGACATCAGCTAAGAAAACTTTCAAACACTTTTGATAGCTTGCTAATGTGTCCATAAATGTGTGAAAATGCCAAACGCCAAACGGGGAGCCAGCCGCACGCCCAGTTAACTGCCACGCCCAGCACGAACGCCGCAACCGCCCGCCTTTTGAACGCGCTGCGCCAGCGGAAATGTCGTAAATCATATTCCCAGCATTTACATACATTTTTATGAGCCAAACTCAGCGGCGAGCTGCCTGCAGGCCCTGCCCTGCCCAGCCCTGGGTGGGCGTGGCACACACACAGCGAAACAGAGCGAGAGTGAGTGAGAGAGAGGGAGAGACTTTTAGCTTTGTGCTCTGCATTATTATTTTGCCGCGTCTAAGTGTGGATTTTATGTATTTGTTTATGGGAAAATTAGGGAAATGGCTTTCGCTCCGTTCCCAGTCGGAGTTTTTTGGCTTTAGGTGCCAAAGGTTACAATTATGAAGTTTACACACCATTTGCCATAGAGGGTTGCTCCAGCAATACTCCCGAATTCACTCTGGACTTTCAATTAGCTTGACCACAACTTCACACACACACACACACACACAGTCTCTCTCTCTCTCTGTCTCTCCGTTTCAGTTTGTTCCAATTAGTTGACTCTTCACTGTTTTTTATATGTGGCGCATTTTATCCGCACTTCCGCCCCGGGGGGCTATACGCATACATTATCAACACCTTAGTTCCAGCAAATTAAGCCGCCAGCTTTGAGTTAATAAATGCAACTAAATGCTAATTCTTGCTGCCCTCCTGCCCTCCTGCTCTCCTTTCTTTCATCGAGCAACCCCCAAGTCCAGCCCTAGACTAAGCAAAACTGAGCGATCTTATCGTCGCTTGTAAAAATATATGAAGCGCAGCTTAAACAGAAATGTGTGTCTCTCTCTCTTTTTGAGTCTATCTCTTTCCTTTTTTATTATTTAATTAATTCATAATTTAATAGCTAAAAATACTCAGCAAAAGTCAGAAAATTCTGAACAAAAGAGACGACTACACTGAAAAAAAAAATTAAATAAATAAAAAATAATAATATTATTATTATTGGAAAAAATATTCAAAACTAAGGCTCGGATATCTTAAAAGTAAAAGTTGATTTTTCTTGTAAATAAAATTAAAACCTCAAGTTTTCAAATATAAAAAATTAAACAATAAAAAATTCTGAAAATTAAAAACAAATTTATTAATTTTAAACTTTTAATTATTTAATAAATTGATTGTAATTATATAATTATAAATTAATTATAATTATTTAATTATATAAGCTCTAAATTATTTTTGTTTAAGCTAAATTTGAAATTAATATTATTTGCTGTGCAGAAATTGAATTATATATACAATTTATATTTATTAGTGATATTTTTCATATTCAGCCGTATTTATTCCTAATTTCTCTCAGTGTACCCACTAGGCTACTTGGGGTCAGCTATTAACTGCCTCTTAAAAATGCCCACAGATCCTGCACCTTTCTGTTGGGTCTTAGCTTGTTTCATTGTTGTTGTTGTTGTTTTTGTTGCTGTTGCTGTTGTTCTTTTTGTTGTTGCTGCTGTTGTCCTTTAGGGCGAATGATAAATGTTCGCTCATTTGGTACAGCTGCTCGCGGCAGACAATCAAATGTTAATGAAGTTGTACGTAAAATTTGTTCGAAATAAATTAATATGCGAGTTGTATCAAGTTGACCCAGAGTCGCGCTTTGTTTATTGAGTTCGGTCTTAAAGCATGCAAATCGCAATTGATACGCACCTTGGCAGGGGCTACTGTCCGCTCGATTAGAACTGTGCGGAACCGACTCTGTATGGCAGCAATTGCCTAACAAGCGTGAAGAGTTGTCGCTAAAATATTGACAAACATTTGCCGTTGACTACCAGCTGAGCTACCTCCCTCCCTCTACCTCTACCTCACACCCTCTCTCTCTCTCTCTCACTCTGTGTATGTGTAGCTCTCAATTGCCGCCCGCTGACTTGGCTGGGACAATTAGGCCGCCTGCTTGCTTGCCTTTCTCTACCATTGCAACCGCCAATTGCTGTTGGTTTCTGTTAACCGCTGACAGTGCGTGACAAAATCTACACAAACCACGTGACATTTTATCTCAATGACCGCAACAACAGCTCTCAAAAGACAGACAACTCGGTCAACAGGTAAAACTCTCGACCCGGCTCGATCCTTTTTGGCCCAGTGCGCAATGCATCATAAATCATTTTCGATTTGCTCTTCGGGTTGAGATGCTGAGTTTCTTTTAGCTTCTTCTCTTTATCTACATTTATTTATGTGGCAACCTCTATCTCTCTCTCTCTCTGGAGGTTCCACTATTTGTTGATCTTGTGGGGTCTAGTATATATCGATCTAGTATGTACAGTTGAGTCTGGATAATTCGTACCCCTTTAAATCGAAAATCGCGATAAATCAAAAAAAAAAAAAAATTCTATCCCCTTGAAAGAAATTCTCAATAATTCTCCATAATATGAATTTCTTTGCAAATAAAAAAAAAAAAACTGATCCGCTTGCCACTTTGAACTATCGGGATTCTACTGTATATATATAACGGAAGTACTCTAAGTAGACCAACATCTATCATCTATTAGCATCTATAATACTGACGCTCAACTTCCAGCTACTAATTTTATGTCTCTCAAGCCTCACGTAGAGCAAGTCCATCTAGACATATCCTACACTCTTCTATATATACTATACATATGATAATAAGCAAACAGCTGCTGAAACGCGGCGTAACTCAGCTTTTAAGGGCGAATGTATTAGGTATATATTTAAGCAATTTAAAAGATATCACTCAAAGGAACAGAGCCCGCAATTGTGAATGGCGATTCGTAGCAGTTGCTGCTGTTGCTGGCAGCCAAACGATGTGCTGACATAGATCTATATCAGGGGTAAAAAAAAAAAACAGAAAAAAAAGGAGTAATAATATTTTTGGGGGCGTTGCCCGGCCCGCACAAATGTAAATAAACAAGCGGCATGGAGGTGCTTTGCGCTAATTACAGGGCGCACGGCTCGGCGGCAGAGGCAGTTGGAGTCCTAGTCAGAGTCGAAATGAATACCAAAAACAAAAACAAAACGGGATTCGTAAGGACAAAGGACATGCAAATGTGTTGTTAGCGCGACAATCGGCAGCTATTACATTGCAATTTATACTTTGTGGCGCTGTCAGGACCTCTGCGGATGAATCGAAAGCCAGCGAAAGGAGTAAATTTGTTAATGTGTCGCAAATGCGCACAGCGGGAGGGGAGGGGGCCGTGTCAGGAGGCGGAAGTATACAGGTATCCCATATTGAAAGGGGGAAAAAAGAAAAAAACTAAAGCCAAACCAGCAAAAGTGGCCAAGCGCAACTCACACACACACACACATCAGAGGAGGCAGAGGAAGAGGCAGCAGAGGTTAGCATATTCAGTTCCTAACTACCAGCTAGCGACTAATGCGTATTTCGCATGTCATCAGCCAGAGCTTTGAGCACTGAAAACTGAGACTCAAAGCAACAGCAGCAGCAACAAAGGCAACAAAGGCAACTCTTGGCTCGAATTTATGTTTCATGCATGATATACCCTGCTAAGCATATAAGTGCTAAGGGGTATATATGCATGGCAGTTGACAATAGAAGACGAAAATCCTTGTAAAAATTTAACAAAATGCTTTTTATAGGTGGCCGAATGTTGCTATGAAGGAAAATTAGTTCTGCAGCTAAATCGAATTAATTAATTGTATTTAAGTAGTATTAATTTAGTAAAATTTCATTAATAAAAATATCATGTATACAAAAAAAAAGTGTCTAATAATTTTCTTACTAAAATAAAGTTACTCATACAACTTTACCTTAGTTATATTATAAAAAGTATTATAATATAATATAATATATAAATATTATAACATAATATACAATGTTGAGAAAGAAATTCTTATTATTATAAATTATTTTGGTGGTTACATATGAAGAATATAAATAAATATTTTAATTTAATTTTTTTTTTTTTTTTATAGATTTCGATTTTTTTCCGATCTAGTCGCAGTTTTACTTTTTATAATATTTTACAGAATATATTAACAAAACTAATAAATCTAGTCAAATAAATTTTTTCGTTTATATCAATTTAAATAATTAATGATCATTTACATTTCTCTTTAAATATGCTAAAAACTCAAACAATCAGCTTTATCAATTCACTTTCAACGTTAGTACAGGGTATGCTGTAGTCGCGCAATTGCCTGCTTCTATTATGCACTCGCATTTGGCATTTCACATTTCGCATTTTACACGACATTCGCACGAAAATCGTCAAGCAATAATTTTGTATTTTTTTTTTTTTCACTGAAGTCAACTTTGTTGAGTTGCGAATGAAAAGTCGTTTAAGCAAATGCTGAATGTGAGTGAGTGAAAGAGAGGACTGGGGAGAGTATACATATATATGTATGTATGTATGTTTGTGTGTGTGTGTGTGTTAGTGTTAACTGCAAAACAGCTGACAAGAAACAGCCGCCAGTTCGGCTGCCTCTGCCTCTGCCTCGGCTGCCTTTGTTTTTGTCTTCTTCTCTTTGGCATTTCGGGGGGAGGGGCGTGGGCCTCGCGGCCTGTTGCTAATCGAAAATCGAAAATCGACGGCACATTATTTCGATGCCTTGTCAATCAAATTGAGGGGCAGCCAACAGCCGAGCAGGAGGCATCGATGGGTGGTGGTGGTGCTGGTGGTATCGGTGGTGCTGGTGGCGGCGGCGGCATTCGTAATGAGAAACTAACCAAAAAGCTGCTGATATTTCGCAGTTAACTTGAGCGGGGCGTAAATGTAAATGGCGAATATGATTGTGAATGTGAATACCACCAGGTACGCCACGCCCCGCACCACCTACCCCGTTAGCCCGCCCCACCGTCTGGGACAGACAGAGTGAAAGGCGTTTGTGGAGTTTATTGATTGTTCAAGTTTTCAAGTTTGAGTTCGCATTCAGGATGAGTTTTTTTCTTTGTTTTTGCTTTCGAGTTTGCGTTCGAGTGTCTGATTAGCGTCGATTGATGATGAGGCCCGAAATTGTTTCATGCCACTGGGCGACATGTGGCCCGAAGGCGACTATTTGGTGGACTGAGTTGGCTATCAAAGCTGAAATTATGAGCGATGGCAGATGAGAAATTCGCTAAAAGGCAAATATTTAACTGGAAATGTAAAGACAAGTAGCAGAGATATATGTAAATAAATATAGTAAGAAAGAGGAAGTGTGATAAAAAGGGAAAGAAATGGAGAGATAAAGTGAGAGATGTTTGAGAGAGAGGATAGAGAAAAGACAAGTAGGAGAGCCTGTATATATAGTAAGAGAGTGAGAGAGAGAGGCAACGAGGGTAGAGGCAAAGAGACTGCGATGCAGAGAGAGAGAGAGAGAGAGAGAGAGACAGGGTAAACAGAGTGAGACAGCGTCAGAGAAAGAAGGAGAGAGAGACTGACAGAGCCGGGGAGAAAAGGAAGGAGGCAGATGAAGTAGGAGGAGGGAGGCATAATATGTGTGAGACAGAGAAAGAATGTCAGAGAGAGAGATAGAAAAAGAGAGAGAGAGAGAGGGAGCAACTAATGGTATGAAATGAGGGCGATAATAAGCGAAAGAGAAATACAAATGCCAATTATGTGGAGAATGCAGGACACAAAAATTGATTGGAAACATCAGTTCGATTTCCCACTTCATGAAATATTAATAATAATTTCATCCCATTTTAAATATTTCATTTAACTCTAATAAATATGTTTATACCCAAACCAGCAGAGTTTCTGGATCTATTCATTGTCTTCTTTACTCTCTTTTGATGCTAACTTAATTACTAACAGCAATTTCTATGGAGCACATCTTAACTTGGCCAATTCACGCGCCTCGGGCAGCTGCTGTCAAGTGCCTCGACTTGACTTGCCAGAGACTTCCACGCAGCAAAACAAATCACAAGAAGAATAAGAAAATGGAAGCTTCTCACTCACCTGCCCGTTTTGGTGATGATCATTTCCGTGCCGAGCTCGTGGAACTTATCCCAGAGCTCTTTAGTCTCCAGATGGCATTGCACGGGCAAGAGATCGTCGCAATTGCAGGAGCCCAAGATTTTGGGCGTTGGCAGCTGTTGGCGAGGGTGAGAGAGAGAGAGAGAGAGAGAGAGAGCAAGTTTAGTTGTTGCATCTAGTATTAGCGTTTAGATTTCTCTTTTTTTTTTTTGGTGCTAACTTTGTGGCGTGGCGTTACCTGCGCAGGCTCCTCGGGGGACAGGCGCTCGTCCTCGCTGGGGCTGTGCGCTGCGCGGGCGGGTGGCGGCGAGGGCGTGGCAGTGGTGGCAGCTGCAGCCGTTGGTGTGGATGTGGCACGCCCTCGATGGCTGCTTGATTTGCTGTGATTGTGGTTGTTGTTGTGCTGCTGTTGTTGTTGTTGCTGTCGCTGCTTGTTGGCTGTTGCATGAGCCTGTTGGCGCTGCTGTTGTTGTTGTTGTTGTTGTTGCTGCTGCTGCTGCTGCTGCTGTTGTGCAACACGCAATGCATGACGCGCATGCTGCTGCGCCGCTGCTGCTGCGGCTGCTGCTGTCGCTGCCGTCGCTGCCGCGGCCGCTGCTGCTGCTGCCGCCGTTGGCGTTTCGCTGTCGCTGCAGTCAACCACATCAACGTCAACATCATCGTCCGCATCCTGCGTCGAATAGCGCTCCACAGATAATGGACCTAAAAGAGCAACAGATAGAGAGAGAGAGAAAGAGAGAGGAAGAGAGAGAGAGTGTGTGTGTGTGTGTGAGTATAAAGAGAGTTGTCTAGGCGGCAACAACGTGTTGCATGCAACATGCAGATTTTTTTGCGCAGATATGAGACACACAAATTCAATTATTTACTCGGCGATTTCATATGTTAATTTGCTTGTTGTTGCTGCTGTTGTTGTTGTTGTTGTTGCTTTAATCAAATGCATTGAGCGAGGGCTGGCCGAAGGGGCTCAACAGCTGCCAATTACGGCATCTAAATAGTTTTGTGCATGCATACAAATCGATAAATATCTCTGAATGCATATAGATACATGTGTGTGTGTGTGTGTGTGTGTGTGTATGTGCATGCTCATATCATGACATGCAGCGCACCCTAGCCACGCCCCTTTTACAGCTGCTGCCCACCCCACACCACCCCACCCCACTTTGGCATTCAAATAGGCTTTGATTATTTTATTGCCGCGCACATTTGCCGCAATTATCAAGTCATCAACGTTGCATTGTCATCAATATGCAATTTGTGGCATAAACAACAGCAGCTGCAACAACAACAATAAAGAAAAAGTAATACAGACAATAATATCATTGGCAACTGTGCAACATGGCGAGCAGCCGCTGTGGGTGTCAATAGCTCGGCTAATGGAGCCACGAGTCTTGGCCAACTCGGTGCGTTAATTAGCATTAAGTAATGCATATTTATTTATGCTAATAATTTATATTGATTGAAAACACAAATTCCACGAAAATCATAATTATAATTATAAAAAATACTAATTAAAAAATAATTTTAAAAATGTTAATAAATATTACAAAATAATAATAATAATAATAATAATTATATAATATTAAGAATATATAATAATATATCCTTCATAATCATATAGAATATTGCAAGACTAATGAATAAGCCGAAAAAAAGACAGATAAAAAGTTTATAGAAATATTTCAATATATTAAAGATATATTTGTTGTCTATTATATACAAATAGAAGATTATAATATATAGTAGACTTAAGAATAGGCTGTACAAAATAATATAAGAACATATCATACATATAAAAAAAAACACATAGAAATATTGAAAATATATTGAAACTAATTAAATAAACATATGATTTTTAAATTCAATTATTATTTCTTCTAGTTGTAAATCTTTACATGTTTTAAGCCCTGAATATATATAGAAAGGAAAGATATATCTATATTTTGCAAAGTAAATAATCTAAATGAATAACAATAAAGTTTGTAGAGTTTATAGTCTATAAAATCTATCTCTATCTATCGATCTATCTATCGTCTCTGTCGAATCTAGAGACCTATGCCTAGATTTCTCTCTCCAATGCCGCAATTGCAGTCAACAGCTCGAAACTAAATATCGAAAATAAATATATGATTATAAGAAACATATTTCTGGCTTTATCCTGACAAGTTTTGGCAATAAATTGAGCTCATTTTCGTTTCGAAAACTGTAATACAATTCTCTGCAATTTCAAAATTGTTTAAGGGATCACTTAAGGTGTTTCAATGAAAAATTGGTCTTTAATGTATTTATATACTCCACCATATATGTTGATGGAAAGATTGGGGTAATTTTTGTAGACAACGACCCGTAAAATAAGCTCAGTGCCAACCACCTCATCATCATTTCATATGAAACTGCTCTTTAAATATTTAATCTTCAATAAGAAAGCTACAAAATTTGTTTGTACATTTTTAAACTTTGTTAACAATTATTAATTACATTTTTTCTCGTATATCCTTAGAGCTAGAGTCTCTAAATTTTAAATATAGATTTTTATATATTTTATAAAATTGTGAAAATATTTTGTATATGACATCAATAATAATAATGACGAAAGTTATTTTACAGCTCTTATAAATATGATGATATATACAAAAATAAATTCTGCTGTTTATATAGAAACCCCAAAATTTTCAAAGATATTTTAGCTTATAGTTTATGCGAAAGACACAAACCAACAAAATATTCTATTTAACTAAAATATATTTGCAATATCTGCTGTCTCTCTCTCTCTCTCTCTCTCTCTCTCCTTGATCTCATATTTACCTTTAATTGCTATTTAACTAAACTAAAGTTTAATATATGTACTAGTTATGCTAATGCTTTTTCTTTTGCAAAATAGTTCCACAAATTTTGATTTAAACGATTTTTTAGCTTTATTTATTTTTCGAATTGCTTAATTTAAATGAAAATCAATTCCTAGTCATAAAAAATCATTTTTTATATCAATTCAAACACAAAGTCAACTTGAATTCATATTTTTTATGAACTGAATTAATTCGATGATTTCTAACGGTATTTAGCGCATGCCAAATCGTATTCAATGTAAAGATACGATTTTTATTTCTAAATCAAAAAAAAAAAAAATCTATAAATTCTGCACAAAGATATTTGTGTAAACTCTTTTTTCTTCTTCTTCTTTGATTGAATTAATAAATATTCATTCAATATAAATTATAAATTATGCAGCTGCTGACTTGAAAAAATAAATAAAAAGACCTATCGTAAAAGCGTCTTTATAAATAAGCCCCGCGAGGCTCATAAATGCGAACAACAAATTTTTTGGAATTCTCAAAAGCATTTTTAACACCTTCGAAATTGTTGAAATGCTCATAAAAACTAAATAATTTATAAAGCTGATTAAAAGTATTAAAAAAGAGCGAATGACAAAAGAGAAATATTTGTGTGGCTTATCAAAATTTTAATTATTGCTGAAATATTTCAAAATGCCTAGACTGAAAGATATTTTGATAGAATATGCGAATGAATAACGTAATCAATATAAATATATACATATATATTAAATATCTAAGCTAGAGAAATAGATATAGATATAGATATAGATATAGATATGGATATATGTATATATATTTAAGCTGTACAGATTATAAATATAAATATTTTTTATTTTATTGTTGAGACTATAAAAGACCGCAAATAAAATAAAAATTAAAAAAAAAAAATGTTTTCATAAAAAAGTGAATTACTATCATAATTTGTATTTAATTATTTATTTTCTAAATACATATTTTCTTATTTACAGAAGTCTTTAGAATAAAAATAAGTTTTATTTCTAAAATTGTAACGGATTTAGTTGAGATTATTTAGCGGGTTTTTAATGTAAGATTATATCCAATGGTCAGCTGCTTATTAAAGACTAATTTTAAATAAATTCTTCTTCTTATATATTCTTCTCCTTGATGTTGAACATTTCTAGACTTTCTTCTCAAAGTCGTCTATACTTCTATAATTTCATTAAATTTTAGAACAATTCATATATCAGTCAAATACTTATATTTCCAAATATGATTTCAGATAGTCAATATAAATGATTCTAGAATAATGTAATATTCTAGCAGATTTATTATTTTATATTGAATATCTGAAATCAAATTTAGCTTCTCATTTGGTATGATTTGATTTGAGTATTTCGAGATAAAGACATAGAGATCTCTACTTAAATCTAGTCTACTACCAATCTAGTCTACCTAGTCTACTACCTACTAATTGCACTTCTAGAAGACATAATTTGATAATCCATAGATTAAAATAGTATTATATGTGTACTATAGCTTAGTTTTAATGGGTAAGGATTGGGTAAGGTATAGATATCTAGCATAGATATCGACTCTATTTACCTACTTTGCAATGCCTAAATATGCCCAAAGTTTTCTTCCCTACACTCGCAATATTTATCTAGTTTATGCATTTTAAATCTTCTAATAAGCATTTCCACTTAACTGCAGAGAAATACTCGATATATATGTATGGAAAGATGTGTCTATAGTAGAATCGCTATATTCATGTTAGTCTCAATTACTTTAGCTACTCACTCAGACTCCTTTCCGATGGCTCGCGGCTGTTGGAGGGGGCGGGGTTTCCGCCTCTCGCCATAATCGCGGCAATTGAGAAATCCGTGGCAAAGGAAATATTATGCTGATGATGCTGATGATTATTCAGATGCTGATGATGATGATGGCTGTTGTTGTTGCTGATGTTGCTATTGCCATTGGCAATTGTTGCTGCGGCGGCAGCAGCTGCTGCAGCAGTTGCCGCAATTTGTTGCTGCAACTTGACTTTAAAACTTTGCGGCGCTGTTGGCGACGGCGACGTCGGCTGCGGCTTGGCATTCGCCGGCTGATTGCTAAGCAGCATAATATTTCTATTGCAATTCTTCAATATAATTAACAAAAATATTTCAATCAATTTTACAATTCAATTTGTTAACAATTCTCAATCAACACATTTCACATTAAGCATTTTGAGTGTGTCAAGTTTGATTATTTTATTTATTTTTATTTTACGCGCGCGTTTTTGTATTTTTTATTTGTTTTGTATTTTAGATATTTTATTGGTTTTCGTTTCTTTGGGCTTTTCGTGTTTTTGCGCTTTGCCGTGAAAACCGCTTTACAGTCGCACAGCTGACCATTGAATGAATTTGTGGCAACTGCGATTTGCTTTTTGCCATGTAAACGCATTCGCAACAAGCCGAAGTCGACTCTGGCTCCCCCGCCCTGCTCTCCCCTGCCTTGCTGCCCTGGTGCTGCCCTGGACCCCCTACCTCGTGCACACAGCTGACGATCTCTTACGGCGAAAAGTTTTCAACACCACGTAACACGCTTACGTGACGCGCGTTACGGCAAACAACTTAACGAACTAACGTGTGAGAGGCTGCGTCTAAGGCACTAGTTGTGTTGCTGTTGTTGTTGTTGTTGCAGTTGTTGGAGCTGTTGATGCTGCTGCTGCTGCTGCTGTTGTTATTGTTGCTTAGTTGTCCGGCTATGCGCGGCTAGCGCAAAATACCTGACAGCACTGAGGCGCCGCAATTTTACGCAGCTCGCGCAAAAGCGCCAAAAAGTTTTGTGGGAAAGCGCTCACGTAAGCTTCGCACGCAACGTAAAGCGGTTAACCGCAAGAGACAGACAGACGAGCAGCGCGGCAGCAGCAGCAGGAGCAGCAGCAATCAGCGCTGTGCGTGCAAGCGAGCCAGCAATATGCATAGACCACATGTGTGTGTGTGTAGCGCATTCCAATGCAGCGACGCGGCAGCGACGCGTCGCCTCACATAATTCATGCTCACTTTTGAGTTTTCCAATACGAACGCTAAATTCCCATACACTCAGCTGAGTGCGCACTGTCGCACAAGCGTGCAAGCGAGATGGCTGCTGGCGCTGCTGAGCGCATTCGAGTGAGCGCTTCGCTGTGTGGCTGGCTGTGCGCTTCGTGTTGTCTCGCTCTGGCGAGCGCAAACAAGTTCATAAATTCGTCATTTTGTTTTTTCGGGCTGTTGACAGTTGGTCTGCTTAGTAGTAGTAGTAGTTGTTGTTGTTGTTTTGTGAGTGTTTGTGTGAGTGTGCTAGGAGGGGGTGTGTTTTGTACATTTCGTCGGCTATTTACAAATACTTTTTCTGCTGTGCCGTGCATGAGTGATTTTTTGTGCGGTGTTCCATTGCCAAAGCGTTGCGAGTTGTTTCACATGAAACTCACCACGTTTCATGTTCAATGTTTTGAGTGAGTCTCTTTCTTTGGTGTGCGCTTCAGCTGAGTGAGTCACTCTCAGTAAATGAGCTGTTTATTATATGTGAGATTTTGAAGCAATTTGAAATGAGTGGGAATTAAATGAAATGCGTTTTGTTCAAAAGAAATGTGAGAGATATTTTGTTAAAATTTATAAAACCGAAACATTTTAAGTTGTTTTATTATTTTATATTTTTAAACATATTTATTTTTATTATCTCCGATTTTTTTTTATATACAAAAAAAAAAAAAAAAAATGTGTTCGTTTATCTGAAACTGTCGCGCCCGTCGCATCGAATAATATCATAATTGAATATCTGCGGTACCCACAGCAAAGCACACACACACACACACACACCCTGCATATGTAAATGTCCTTTTTTTATTTTTTATTTAAATGTTTGCTTAAAGAAAACAACAACAACAACAAAATGCGACGAATGGCGTGTGAACGTAGCGGCAAATACACACACACACGCACACATTTGCATGCATGTGTGCATGTGCTTATATGTATATTTTTCACAATTCGTCAGCTGCGTCTCTACGGCTGCCGCCATACCCCAACCCATACCCAACCCATTCCATTTCGTTTCGTTTCACCCACCTCCTGTTGTCTGCTGCGTTTTCGTGGTTGCGACTAATGGCCACAGAAGGACTCGATGGCAGTGGAGGGGGTAGAGTTGCTCCTTCCATTTTGACTCTCTTATTTATTTGTTTTTGTTTATTCGCATTGCGATTGCTCGCGAGTCGGCGACAATTTTTCAATGATTTGTTTCCTCATTTGCATAGGCTAACATATTTTCTAGCCTTTCCCATTTTCCATTTTATTCCGCATTCGCTGTTTTGAGCATTTGTCTGCTGCTTTCATGTGTGTGTGGAGGGGGAGGGGCAGGGGTTGATTTGAAAAATTGTCAAATAGTGTGTTTGAACTTCGTTTATTATTGAACAATTTCATTTGCTTAAATGGTTAAATGGGTGTGATTTAATTAATTCGCATCAATTTATAGCCAAACATGAGTCGGAGGAAAGCTTTTAGCATTATAAGAAAAATAAATTCATTTTGGACATAAAATTTAATTTAATTGTTTGGTAAAGTTTAAATGTATCGATATGTGCATATAATATAAATTCTATTACAGAAATACAAAATTTGAATATCAAATAGATAGATAGATTTATTTATATAGTTCTGAAAACATTTAATTTATTATTATCTATTTATTAAAAAAAAAAAAAATTGAATGCAATTTTTATTATTTTTTTTAATAGGCCGTAAAGGGATTGCAATTGATCTCTCAAAAAAATACCGTAAATAAATTATATATAATTATAATATATATTTTGTCATGGCAGTTTTCGGGTTCCTTAAATATTTCTCATAGAGTCGAATTTATATTGGCATCAAGGTCAGTCTGTTCAAAATTACTAATTTTTTTTTATTGTAAATACATTTTTAATTTAAAATCATTTGTGACTAAATTTATAACTTTTAGTTTAGCAAAAAAAAATTTACATATATATTTTTTATTTTATATTATTGTTGTTATTATTTTAATATACATTTAGGTATATTTTTTAATATATTACATTATATATATATTTATTTTTATTATAATATTTTTCTGGAGTAATGTAAGAAATCGCTCAGATTCTGTTCGCCTTAATAAAGAGTTAACAGTTGTTAGGCCAAGCCTTGAGTTATAGATCACATATAAGGACTATATATAACCGAGCTAGTTTTAATACTGCTATTGGCTTCTAAAGTTTCCAGCTGTGCTCTATATTACATCCATCTTACATCAATCTTAAATGGCTCAAGTACTCGCATATCAATCACAGCTTGCTTGCCTACTCTGTATCTGGCTCCCTCCCTCCCGCTCTCTTTCTCTTTATATTTATATATATTATTTACTAAATTTGTTTGTTTTTCTGTTGCGCTAAATCAAAATCTGTTTACATTTGCCATGCGTGCCGCAATCTGTGGCAATATGAAATGGGCCGCGCAGCGGCTTAGACTTTCCCCATTTTGGACACTCGACGCAATTCAATTGCAAAAGCCAATTGCAAACCCAGCATAAAAAAAAAATAAAAAAATAAAAAAAATATTTTGCGAACAATTTCGAAATTCTTTTTGCGGTTTTTCTGTTTACGCTTTGACAGGATTACGGACTAAAGTCGAAGGCTGCAGATGGAATGCGATTTGCTGTTGTTGTTGTTGTTGTTTTTGTCATTTTATGCCATTAGTTTTTATATATGTATATAGAACACAGAGAATTCACTATTTTTTGCGCTTACGTGCGCTAAATGGCCAATAAGCAACAGCAACAGCAGCAGGAGGAAAATGGAAAAACTAAGCCGGCAGGATTCGAGTGTGTGTGTGTGTGTGTTTGTGCTGGCTGCAGCATGTGGCAGCCATATTGCTGCACTAGATTTATCAATTTTATTGCCAGCAAAAAGGGAAAAAAGGCAGCTACTAGCAGCATGTGCCACGCTCAGCGCCCCTTATAGGGCGTGGCAAGCGTAAAAGCAAACCAAAAACTTTTCATAATTGCAAACAATTGAGTTTTATATGCCTTGGCCTTGACTAAGAAACGCGTGGCACACACACACACACACAATCTGCAGGTGTCTGTGTGTGTGTATGTGTGGGTGAGTGTTCCTAGTCAAGGACAAGCCAGATTCAAGCCAGCTCAGCTGTGCAGCTGCTCAATTATCCTTGCGCGCGCTTTGCCACGGCAATTCCATTGCAAATCAATTAACAGCTGCTGCTAAAAAAAAGAGCTGGAACTGGAACTGGAACTGGAGCTGGAGCTGGAGCTGCGTTGCACTTGCACGCACTTGCCTAATTTGATTTCATTACCGCGCCCACAACTAAATCAAAGGCCAAGCCAAATGCAGCGGAAGGCGGAGCTGTGGCCGAGCTTAATGCGAAAATTAATCGTAGCGAAATATCGCAAGCGAATCGCATTGCACTGAGCGAAAAGCGAGGGTAGCAATGTATGCAAATAAATATTATTATAAAACATTATATATTGCTATGTTAAATATAATGTAACTACATTTCAATTAGGTTTTCCATTGACAACACTAAAATCGAAATATTTATCGACTTGATTAACATTTAAGTAAAAAATAAATATATATTTGTATATATATGTACATAGATTTTGTAATAATAAAGAACCTCGAGTTATAGATCTTAGTTTGGCATAAAGATTGAAGTCGATACGCCAAAGATTTTTTATTTTTTATATTTTTTTATTTAATACACACTATTCAAAAGCTACCATTTCGCTCAGTGTACATATCGAGGTTTCGTTACGGCTACGGCTACAGCTACATTTGCAGCTTCCAGCTGAAGGAAACGCCTATGCCTCCTGCTCCTGCTCAGCTGCAGCTAGTGTGGCAAAGCGAGCAGCAGAAGAAGCCGCAGAAGTAGTAGAAGAAGAAGAAGCAGCAGCAGCAGCAGCATCATTCGTACTACCGAAAGCGTTGAAAACACTTTGTCGGCTCACAGATGCGTTGATAATATGCTAAAATTGCTGATGATGCACGCCCACAGGTGTTGCGGCCACTCTGAGATAGAGATGGAGATGGAGATGGAGTTGGAGTTGGAGTTGGAGTTGGAGATGGAGTTGGAGAATGAGATAGAGATGCAAATGGCCGATGCAGTCGAAGATGGAGATGCATACGCAGATGCGGCAGATGCAGATATGTATGTTGGTTAGAAGACAGCAGCGATGGGGTGGCTGGCGGTTTCCCGCCAGGCGAACGAGGAGGAGGAGGCGGACAGAGGAGCAGAGACTCTGTGGTAATTGCCACATGAAATGCTGCGGCGAGATTAACGATGCCACATCCTGTGGCACAACCGTTTTGCTGTCCAAATTTATGAGCTCCAGCTCTAGCGGCAATTGCGGCAATTAACAAGCTAAACAAAGCGGCTAAACAGCTAGATCAAAGCGAAATGCAGCGGCAACAGCAACGGGAACCTGGAAACGGATTTAGAACTGGCATCAGCTGTGCCGTAAAGAAATATGACTAAATTGATATGAGAATTGTATTCCAGCTTCCACGACAACGGGGAGATAATAATGAATATTATATACAAAATTGGATAGTGATAAATAAAAAATTAATTCAAATATAGAAATGTAGTATATTATTTAAAAATATATCTTAATAAAAATGAAAAAATTATGAATATGGAAATAAATAATTAATAAAATATACAAATTTGATTTTAACAAATAATTAAATATTAAAATAATAACTAAATAAAAAAAAATAAATAAAAAAAAAATACAACAT